TTTTACATCTAATGGGATGCTGATCTCCAGGTCTCTCTGTGGCTACCTTGCCTCATTGAGTCCTCTCTTGTCTGCATCAGAGAATGGGTATTTCCAGGGCTGGGCTGGAGAGATCCGAATAGTGTGATATTGTCCCACACTATATGTGCATGGGCTTAGAGTACAAAGGGAAAAGATGCAAGTTGAAGAAACGGAGATATATATATTCTAGGTATTACTATAATATAAAAAAAGTAATGCCAAAACATTGAGCATTCTGTGTTAAGCCCGTGCTAACCACTACACAAACATTATTATCATCATGCAAAAACTCTGATGATGAAGATATTATTTTAGTATTGCTTATATTTTTGTCATAATTAGAAATCTTTGTGAGATTGCTTAAGAAGCCTGTAATTTTAAGATCAGGCCAATTCCTAGTTTAGTTCAGGAGACAAGTCAGTCTGATTTCCCCATTTCTTTTCTTAGCTGCTATTCAACCGCCACATCAGTTTCCTTTCCTGAGGCAGGACTCTGCCTCCTTCTCCACGTGCCTTCCTAACTCAAGAAGAGGCAAGCAGAAATAGGGAGACCACAGGAGGAACCACAAGAGGCTGAGGTAACTGGACACATTTCCTGAAGCCTTGCACACATTGCAAAGAGGTTTCCGTGGAAATCTTGGTCCGATGCGCCCTGACTGACATGCTTCCTTCCGGCAGCTGAGATCAGCAAGTAGGGAGAACAGGAAAATGGAAGCTGAGCTCAGAAAATGAAACAGAAAAGCAGAAGTCCTGGAAAGGTGACACGAGAGTAGGCTCTCTTGGTGTGAGCGTGTTCACAAGCCTTTCTTCCCAGCTGCTTGCACACTAAGCTTCTGCTCTGGGGAGTCTGTTCCAAAAAGTGAGGTAGTAGGGTACCCCAGGACCCAAGCAACCTCCCTGTGTGTGGGACCCCGGAGCCTCTGGGACTTCTTGGGCAGAGACAAGAGTACAGTTGCCGCGGACAGCAGAGCTCTGGCTCCTGTGACTTTGTGACCTCTGAGGACAGTCCTGGGGCCAGACCAGGACCCCTCTTTCTTCCTGTAGCTTTCGACTACCTACTGTGTCAGTTGTTCATGTGTTACGTTCACGCTTCTGCATGTCCATTGCACTCCTGAAGCACATACACTTTTACCTGGACTCTATTCTGGTGCGTTAAAGTACTTATTTTCTCTCTAGATGTTCAAACGTCTGAAAGGAAATACAGTAAGAGGTGGTTTTATTGATATGGCTTATACATTATTTAAGTATCAATTTGGGTGGAGGAATAAAATCTGCTCTTTCACTCCCAATTTAAAAAATTGCCTAATAGGGCCTCCCTGGTACTGAAGGGGTTAAAGTCCGCACTATCACCAGCCACTATTGCAGGAATTCTATGAACAGCCAGGGAGCTGACCCACATGGCACATCAGACCTTTCAGGTCTCACCTGCTGCTCCCCTCAGCACTATATTTCAGTCAGGGCATCTGTTCTGCTTCCCACTCTGTTTCTTTAGTGTGGGTGTGTTTATCCCCCCCTCTGTTTCTAATGAATCCTCTCACTCCCTGAAATTCTGGCCTACACCCCAGTCCTTGAATGCATAAGTAAAAAACAAATCTTTTTAAAAAATGATACCTTACATATCGCAATAAACAGTTCTGTTCATGAACAATCTATTGTCTTTGATGACATCTTTATTTGCTTAAGTGCAAATAACATGCTGATTTTCCTATCATTTTATAAAACATTTTATAATGCAATCCTCAATCACTATAATGCTTATTCAAAACTTTAGGAATGGACAGATTAGAATGTATATTCATGGTTGTCTAGCCAGAAGGTGGGGGTGTGGATGTAGCAATGAGTGAAAGGGAGTGAGAGAGAAAGGAGAGCAATTTTTCATAGGTTTTTGTTTCATGACCCCATATAGTAGACCACTTGTGGAATTAGGTTCCCTGACTTTTCCTCATTAATTAGTTTCTGTAAGAGGATCCAGAAACAAGCATGTTAAATAAATTCTCAAGGCGAATCTTAGTCCACTAGAGTTTGAAAGATACTTTCTTAGCATACATTAAAGTATAACTTATGATAAGTAAAACATACCAACAAAATAGGGAACATTTTAGGTCTTTTCAATAAATTATTTCAGAAAAAGATTGAGATGAATTGCTTCTTCCCTTTGGCTGTTGTGAAGAATGTTTTTTTGAGAAGGGGTGTATAACTAGCCTTTCCAGTCCTCTTTTCCTCTTGCCATTGAATGTCTTGGGAGAGTTAGAGCTCCTGAGACATGTGGGTGGAAAGGAAGCTGTCTGTCTGGGCCTTTTCTAAAGGGCACGTCGTGGGTCCCAGGATCTATATTTAACCACAATCTTAAAAAAGAAAAAAAAATTGAGAAGAGTCATTAAGTGCTTTAGATAATATTTGTGTGTACATACATATATATTTCAGAGGGATTACTAAGTGGCATTGTAAAGCAATTTTTAAAAAAATTTGTTAAAAAATTTGTTTACTTACAGAACTGGGGTACAGGCCAGAGGTGCAGGGGCAGTGAGAGGACTCACCAGAGACAGAGTGGGGAGCAGAACAGGCTGACTGACAAAATACGTTGCTGAGGGGAGCAGGTCAGGAGCCGTATGTTGCATCATGTGAATCATCTCCCTGGCCAGGGATTGAACTCTTGCTGAAGCGGCTACCTCCAGCTTCACTGTACTGTTTTAACCTGTTGTGCCACCAGGGTGGACACTTATAGTAATACTTTAAAAGAAATAAAAATTTTAACAGACCTTACAAAGAAGCACCAGTTGACTAGGATTACATAATGCTATAACTTCAATCACAAAAACAAAAACAAGAATTGCATTTTTCCAGTGGGTAATACTTATAACACTTTCTATACTCAGCAGTTAGAACTTGATGCTTACAAAAGGCAGAGTTAGTGACCCGCATGGGTGTACCTCCTGTTTTGATCTGACCTGGAATTAAATCCAAATGAATAATGCAATAGTTGAAGTCTCTCAGCTGAAAAGAACAGAACAGGAAAGGCCTTCTAAAGCCTGCGCCTGGAACAGTGCACCTTTTCCAGCTCTCTGTATGACTTTCTAGTTCTTATGGGGTGGAAATGTGATAGTTGAGAATTAGTGACGCTCTAATCCACCCCAAAATGACCACAGTTGCTTTTATTTCTTGATACTTCCCAGTGCTAACCCTTCCCCCCACAAGGCCAGTTTTTGTAACTGGGTGGTCCCTAGGAAAAGGGGGAAGTTCCAGGTTCCCTGCCCCACCCAGAAGGAGGGTGGAGCTGAGCAGAGAAAACGGAGAGAAGAGAAGGAATCAGGAGAGAAGAAAAGGAAGCTGGATGGAGAGCCAGAAGGAGACCTGAGGAAGCCACATGGAGCAGCAAGCATGTAATGAAGAAACTGCTTGTTTCCTGACCCTGGACTGGTTAAGGCAGATGTGGGTTAGATACCTGTAGGGAGGTTGTAACAGGTACAGGTTTCACGGACTCCGCCCTCACATCCCTGCGTGCTTCTTCCTGCTTGTGTCTATACAAGTGTCTTTTACTCTTCAGTCCTTTTCCCTAATAAATCTTTTCTTTTAAATATAATTAATGTCTCTGTTCGTGGAGAATCTTGCTGTGTGCCGCTGAAAGTGGAGCTCTGGAGAAACCTTTTCCAGAGTGAACCCAAGGACCTTACTCTCCAAGCCTGCTGATATCAATGACAATGATGTCATCCAAAAATGACATCAACCCCAATTGTCTCTACTGCTAGGATCAAGTCTGGAATCAGGGTGAGAGGATGGGACATTCGCTCCAGTTATAGTATTTAAGGGTAAGGGAAAGGAAGGCTAAGAAAAGCCCAGCAATCAAAATACATAATATATTTTAAAACAATATAATAGTTTATTTTTACATCATTTTGTACCTTTTCCATCTCAGTTGTAATCCCCGTGGGCTTCCCACCACCAGGTCACCTGTGTGCCATCACCATAGTCCCATGCACTCCCCCCTCCCTTTTTGACCCCATTCCCCACTTCACCCCGTAAATTGTCTCTGGTATATAGTAGCTCATTTTTATTATTTCCTGTTCCCCCCACCTCCGTCCTTTATGCTCCTGCTATGAGTGAAACCATCCGGTATTTTTCTTTTTCTTTCTGACTTATTTCACTAAGCATGATCCCTTCCAGCTCCATCCATGTTGCTGAAGAAGGCATGAGTTTATCTTTCAAAATAAGTAATATTTTAATGCAGCATTTCAAAAATAGATTTAATGCAATGTAACCCCTGATGAACAAACATAAAAACGTTAAATAACAGGATCTGATCTTGCTCTGGCACAACTCACATAACTTGCTTTGCTCTCAATCCAACCCTGTCAGGTTAGGTTTTAATTTAACATTCAGGTATTTTGTTCATTAAGGATTTTTAAAAAGATTTATTTATGCATGCATGCAGAATTGGGGTAAAGGCCAGAGACTGGGATTAGAGGATTCACCAGAGACAGAGTGGGGAGCAGAACAGGCTGATTGATGAAGTACACAGCTGAGGGGAGCAGTGGGCGGGTCACGAGAGGTCTGCCACGACATGATCACCTCCCCAGTGGGAGGGATCCAACTCCCGCTAAAGGGGCTTTAGCTTCTTAGTGCTGTGCTTTAACCCTCTGTGCCACTGAGGGGGGGGGTTATCAATTTTTGCATTGACTTTGAGTCTTTAAGACATTATTTAGGTAACTGGGATGGAGGGAGGAGAGTGTGGTGCCCCTAAAATGTTTATGTGAAATAAAGTCTTCAATCACTTCACCCTAGTCCTATTCCTGCCTAGGACTCACTCTTGGCTCTCATCAAGTGACCGAACAAGAGGAACAAAGAATAAAACATACATAGAGTTTATCGCTTAAATCAGTAACGGGTTTTTTAAATTATTATTATGACTGAAACAATAAAGTTAACCACTTAGCAATACTGAAAGAATAAATGAATTACCACTGGCTTCTGGCATTACCCCACGTCTACAACCCAGCGTGCCTGAGAACCAGCTCCACACCCTTGAGAGGGAAGAGACTCAGGGGCTGGTCTCAAGTTATCTGACATATCCCTGGAAATTAACTGACCCCATGTTGTTACAAGTGACAAGGATAAAGGCTTCTGTGGGGGAGATGTGGTATCTGCAGGCGGGATATCTGGTACCTTCTATGAGCTGACAGACTGTCATTTTGAACTTTATCTCACTCTGGAAGCATAAAATGGTAGAAAGGTTCTGGCAAGCCACTGTCTTGGGAGAATTGCAAACACTGTTGATGATTCGAGGCCTCTCGTGGATGAAGACATGCTCCTTCTTGCAGGAGTTGTCAGGCTCCCTGATGATCCTTTGGAAGATCATGGCATTGCAGTACCTTCTGAGGTCTTCCTTAGGGTAGTCCACGTGCAAGTGCTCTAAGGTCGACTTCACAATGTCTTCATTTGACTCGTTTTCCCAGAACAGAAGCAGCAGGAAAATCACCACCATTAGAATCATCACGGGTAAGACATCCTTCACACTTTTTGCTCTAACTCCTAAACATTAAGAGAAGACAAGACATAGCAAAGCTTCGTCAGATTGCTCCAGCCCCACCCCCTTGATCTTGCCCCATCATCCTTGGGATATTTTATTTCCTTCTCTCCTGTGGTGAAAATCACACTGGTCCTGCAAATCCAGCTGCGGGAACAGCTCCCAGAGAAAGCCCTTTCTGACTATTGCAGCTCTCAGAGGCTGGCATTGCACTGTTCCCTAACTCCTCCTCATGTGTGGGGTTCGTGTTGTCTCCACACATTCTGACAAGCTGTCTCCTCTCCTGTTTCTCCTAAGTGTTTCAACAGAGCGGAACATACCAGTTTATTCCTGTTGCTGAGTGGCTTCTTTTCTCAGAAGTGTCCTACCTTTAACACCCAATTCCAGCCATTCAGCACCATCTGTTAATCCTTTCTCCCCAGTTCCTTACCAGTCTCTCCTCATGTTGCTCCTACTTGGTTCTAGCTGCTCTCACCTTTCATTTTTACTGGAACTCTGCCAGGTAACATATCCTCGTGATCGGGGATCTGAGGCAGCCCTTGTGTCTCTCTGTTCCCTGACACACTGGTAGGGAGCCAGTTGAGTGTGGGGCAGGCAAAAGTGGGCAGAGCAGGAAGGGAGGGGCATGGGGGACAGCCTTCTGGTGCCATTGGGAAGGAACCCTCAGAGGGAGGGTTGGATAAGGCAGGTCCTGACTATGTCTTCAGTAAACAAACGTGAACTTTTCAAAACATTTATTAAAGCCCTGATTTAGACACACTATTGTCTATTTCCCAATTTCTCAGTCAATCCTTAACTATCTGTGAACTAACAGTTATCTCCACTTCACTAGGAAAGAGATGAATTGCAGAAAAGTCAAGGTGGAGGTACAAGATGACAAGAGTAGGGAGTCTCGCCCTCAGTGCAAGTTTCATTCCCAGAACAGGGCGGAGTTAACTCCTTGACAGTCACATAGACTTGATAAAGTGCTGGCTCCTGGAGAGAACAGCAATGGTTCCGAAACTCTGTAGACTACTGCAATCCACTGGGCGTTTCACCTGCCAGCTTGAGACATTCCGTTATAACTGTTTTTTCCCTGGACTTGGGGATTATGAAAATCTCCCAATGATTCTAACATACAGTGAAATTTGGGAACTATAGACCAATGGTCATTGGGAAACCTGCATGGGGAGTTGAGCATTTGGTAAAAGACAGTAACTCCAGGCATTGAGACAGCACAATTCTTTTGTTGCCACCATCTCCTGGAGATTTGATACAGGACTGTTTAAATAGACTGCATTTTACTACATCTTGCCCTGAAATGAGTTCTCTTATAAACAGAAGCTGCATAGTCTCCTCTGTATGTATTTTTGTCTTCTAATTGGGAAAAAGAAAAGCATTTGGGGGAGAAAAATTGTCTTAGGATAGAAGGTTCTGGGAAAGACTCCGAAGAATGTGTTTTCCTAATTCAACATCTAGATTGTGATTATGAACAACCAGAGAGTTATTATTTACTTTTCAAAACATTTCATAATGAGTATTTTCTCAGAATTCAAACTCTTCCATTTTGGATGGGTTGCACAATGCCACAGAGATACAAGTGCAGAGTTCTCCAACCGACTTCCCACACAGTGCATTTTGATTTGCCCGCCATCTTGTGGAAACATCCAACTCCAGTGTATGAAGAGTACACTGGTATCTTAGCATGTTCATCACTTCCTGCCAGGACTTCTAAGTAGCTGATTTCCTGACATTGTATTAAGTTTAGAGACAGGTCATCCTTAAATCAAAATCTATCCTTAACCAAAACAGCTAGGCCTGTCTTTACATTTCAGAATAAGTTCAAGGTGGGCACATCAGGTACTATTCATACAATCATCCAGGAACTCAGAATCATTCAAATATGCCCCCAAAACAAATGCTTTTTTTTTTTTTTAAAAAAAAAAAAAAAAAGATGTATTTATTTATCCATACAGAATTGGAGTACAGGCCAAAGGTGCAGAGGCGGTGAGAGGATTCACCAGAGACAGAGCAAGGAGCACAACAGGCAGATCAACGAAGTACACTGCTGAGGGGAGAAGCAGGCGGGTCAGGAGAGGTCTGCTGCGCCATGTGGGTCTCAGGGCCGGAACTCGCACTTAAGCAGCTGCGACTAGCTTGCAGTGCTGCGTCCTAACTCCTTGCACCACCAGGAAGGGCCCAAACAAATGCTTTTTAATTTAAAAAGAAAACATTTAAGAATCAATTTAACAATTGTGTATGGTGGAAAACTTCCTTAACTCAAGAACCTTTACTATTGCCCCCAAAGACATGAAGCACCCCTATTCTGGAGGGAGTCATTTGCTGCCTTTGGCAACCAAGAACTGTTTTCTAAAGTGCTCTTAGTACAAGTTTCATGCAGAACCTTCTCCAGCCTTGGGTGCTCTTCCAAGCAGCTTCTCCCTACCCACCCTGTCACCTTGTCTAGGTAGGGAGAACATACTGGAGCTCACCTATGTCCAAGAACCAGCTGCATCTGATCAAAGGCAGGACATGTTCTAAATCAGAACTATCTGTGCTTTACAGATAAAGCCCCACGCTAAGGGTACTGTTCTCCCCTTGGGGCAAATCAAGCCATTTCTTTTTGTTCTAACTTTATTTGGATCTCTGAAATGACTGTTGTGCTGTGAGTCCATGGGAGATAAGCTTGAAGGCAGATTGCCCTAAGCAAGGTCCCTGTCCTTACATACCTTTTGAGAATGCTTTGATCGCAGCATATGTGGCTCCAAAGAGAAATGACTGATTATAGAAATAATGATTTGGTAGAAGACATACTATATAAACTGTACATGATAACATTTGGTATTTATCCTTGTGCTTTTAATAACACAAGGAGCAGCTGTTAAAAGATTAAGCATAGAAGCCTGAAATTAGTGTGCATGTAACAACATGAATACTTAATGTAATGGTCTTTGATTGTAATAAATTCAAGGTTTTATTGGGGGTGGGTGCAAGATGACTGAGTGGGAGGCAAAAATTGGGCTCGTCCGGGATTTGAACCCGGGACCTCTCGCACCCTAAGCGAGAATCATACCCCTAGACCAACGAGCCACCTATATGATATAGCTGGATTTTAAAACTTTAGTAAAGAAAGTTTTAGCCACATCCACAGCTGTAAACTTTTTCTAACCATCATGTACATAGGGTGACGCCTAGTGGACAAAGTAGTCATTGCACGCTCTCTCGCCCAGATTCCCGGAGACCGTGTCCAGCACCACAGATCTTTTTAAATTTTTGATAGTCGTACATTGTTTATTAGGTAGGTGTGCATATCACAAATATTACTCACTAGCGATAGGTGACGGTGAAGCTGGAGAGTGTCACGCCTCTCCTAGCTGCACGGCCGCTGACTATGAGGTGGAACTTGTGGCCCTTTTCAAGCCTAGGATTCCGGTGGCCTGCAGACGTCAGCACCCCCACCCCGTCTCCCGGGGCTTGGGGACCGTCACACGCGAGTAGCTACGTGGGTGTCATGATTTCTTCTGATCATTTTATGGAATGGATCAGTGAGGCTAGTCTCAAGAAATGTGTGTGTGGAATCTTCACCCACTCAGTAAGAATTCAGGGCTCTCAGACCCCCACAGTCGCTCCGGCTCGCTCCTCAGCGAGAGGAAAGGTTCCCAGCAGACTCGAGCTGATTGCCCACGAATCCGGCCTCGGACATAACCCTGTTGGCTTTGCAGCCCCGTCTGCACGCTTTATCCGGCGGGGTGGCGCGGGGCGCCTGTGGCGGGGCTGACAGCTGGCAAACTGCCGTCAGCCGCACTCTGTTACGAGAGCGCCTCCTATCCGACTGTTTTTCCTCCACAGCTCCTGGGTGTGCTGAGGAAGCCCCATTTTGGCTCACCTGATGCCTGCCGCCTGATGGAAAGCTCATCTTTGTTAAGAATAAACTCTCAGGCATCAGGGGGAATAACTGCAGCCCACGTCTTCGCTTCTGAGAGGGCCAGAGACGCTGAGGGCAGCGTGAGGCCGTCAGGGACAGTGGCGCCGAGGGTGACCCCGCGGCGGGGTGAAGCCCCTTGTTAGCCTGGCACAACCCCTCAGCCCCTCGCCCCGCCGAAATCGGGTCTGGTCTGAGGTCCCCCCCGTCGCGGGCGCGGGGACGTCTCCTGGCCTGCCTCAGCCTCTGCAATTCACCGCGCGCAAGGCAGCCGGCCGCGAGGCGCAGAGCCGGGGCTGGGTCTGCCGACCACCCCAAACTCGGCATCCTTGGACTATCGAAAGCTCTCGTCGCAGGGCGCCCTCGCAGGGAGCCCCCAGGACAGGCCTCTCCCTTTGGGGTGCCCCTCTCGGGACATGCTCTCAGAACAAGTTGAACCTAACAGATAGTGTCTCGCGACGCCCTTCCAAGACATTGTTTCCACCAATCTCAAGCAGTGTGACTTAAAGCAGAAAGCAAAACAAATCCCCAGGGGAAGAAGTTAGGGAGAACCGAAGAAAACACCAGTTTACGCCCCACAGGTGAAAGGAGAGGAGATATTGAAAGATACTGAATGCAGGAGCGAACGTTTCCCAACGGGTAGCGTGGCCGAGCGGTCTAAGGCGCTGGATTAAGGCTCCAGTCTCTTCGGGGGCGTGGGTTCGAATCCCACCGCTGCCATTACGTTTTTGAACCCGTTTGTATAGAAAAAAGCCAAGTATATGCTGCTGCGCTGTATTTCGCATAAAAAAGGCAAGACTTCGCTGCTGTGCTATGTTTCTTCCAGGAAAAAGAAAACAGTCTTTTCAAAGACCTTTCTCGCTGGCGTTTAATTTCTACTCCGCAGAGTTTCTGCCTACACGTTGCTTTGTGACCTTCTGTCTTATTTTTGTCTTTCATAATTCAATTTTTTTTTAACCTTTCATTCATAGATTTTCGTTCAGAGTCTGTTGAAAACTGATTTCTTTTTTCTGCTTGATTTAATACAGATAAATAGGAATAAAAATCGCCCTTTCCCACCCCTTGC